TAGTAGCAGTTATTTTTCTGTGTATGAGATTAATTCTTAATTTATGAAATAATGTAGGAGTCTAATTTCTATCCTTTTATAGAAATCGTTTTAGAGATATAGGGTAAATTTACAGGAATATATGAATTACATTAGATTAGGGATATTTTTATAGAAAAAGTCAATTATGCTGGAAAGTGTTATTACTTTATAAACAGAGCTAGAATGAAGTAGATTATATATAGCTGATTTTAGTAGCTAAGATATAGCTCATTTCAAACACATGCTGCATTTCAGAAATATATTTTTTCCAATATATATATATATATATATATATATATATATATATATAAAGCTGGGAATGGGAAACTCCATCCACTCCCTTCCCCCTTTTGGGAAAATACTCTGATGAACTTTATGATAAGATCTTTTATGGTGAAAGAGAAAACAGGTCTACATTTTCTGTTTGGGGAATTTGGTTTTTCTCTTTTGTACTGTGTGGTTACTCATGTTGGAGTAACCCTGTATAGAACTATAATCTAGTTACAGATCATTGTTATTAGTGTCAATGATAATTACACCATATAGCTTGATGGTTTTACAGTTTTTAGAGTGTTTTCCCATATTTTATTTAAGATGCTCTGCAACTCTGAATGGGGGCACAAGACACACACACACACACACACACACACACACAGAGAGAGAGAGAGAGAGAGAGAGAGAGAGAGAGAGAGAGAGATTGGGTTTTTTGTTTGGTTTATTTAAACAAAGAAAAACAGGTAATGTTTGCCTAAAATCACATAGATGATAAGTGGAACTAGGATGCAAACCCCCATTTTGGATTTCTAATCTAGTGCTCTGCATTCATCCCATCTAATCTCAGCACTGAGGTTCTGACAATGAATGTCATAATATGTAATAATCTTTCTTAATATATTCAATAAAAATGAGAAGGTGTGGGGCAATGAACCTGGGACAAAATACAGAGAAGGGAAGGAATCCTGCTCTCATTGGGATGCCTTCCCTTCAAGTATCTGAATGATGGATGCAAGCTGACCCTAGAATGATAACCAACTTCATCAAGTTTTCCTGAGTGATGATCTCCAGTGATGAATCAGAGGTGTTCTCTCTGGAAACTAGTTGGTGGCTGATGCCAAATGAAATATTGTTCAACTGAGAAAGAGACGGAAATGCATCCATTGCTATTTCCCAAGCTTATTGCCCTTCCTGTCATCTGGATCTATCCCTTCTCCATGCCCAGCCAGGTTGTTGGGGGTTCTGTGCAAAAGCCAGGCTCCCCTCTGGCATCTCCTCAGCCTCCTGATCTTCCCACCTCCACTCTTGGCACTTGAGGGCATGCACTCCTTCTGTCTTCTTCTTCCTTTCCTGACAATCCTGGTACTTTAACCGCAGGGTAGGAGCAAAGTTTATCTTCACAAAAAGATCGAGGACTCTTCCCACCACACAGTCATTGTGGACAGATTAGACAGGGCAAGAAGGCAGTGAGATAGAAAACACTTTCTTTCTTATTTTCTTCCCTTCTGTTCCTTTCTTTTTGCTTTTCTTTGCTTAGCTAGCTAGTCTGGTGTGTTCCTTAGCTAGCATGTGATTTTGGGGTAGCTTGCTGGCTGTATTTTGAAAGCTTGCTAAGGCCTGGCCATCTAGGATTATCCTTGTTATTTCCAAACTTCACTTTTGCTTCTGCTTCTAATTATCCAGACGGTCTAAAAAGATCACTATGACTCAATATGAATTGCATTTATTTATTTCCATTGCCCTGGAGCCTGGCTGATATATTGGTTGGATCATTTGAAAAACAGATACCAAGATAGAGGTACAATTGGAAGAGATGATGGGAGGGGGATATAATCCTTGTGAGAGATAAAAGGGAAAGAAAGCAAAACAAGGCAAAAAATTAGGTATTAAGGACACTAGACCGTGGTGCAGCTCCCAGAAGAGTTTTCCTAATGGTGAGCCCTTGAACCACTTCTGTGCTCATTCATTGATCGGGGGTATTCAGGTAGTGCATAATCTCAGTTTGAATACTTAGTAAGATTCTGAAGACCCCCTACAGACAGAGATGGGCAGTAGTTTTAATCTTGAAGATTGATCTAAATTGTGCACTTGCATAGCTACCACAGCTGGGCAAAGGGAAGTAGATGGTCACAGCAAGCTAAGTGCCTACACGATATGTGAGCGGCTAGATCAAGTGGATTCATCCATGCATCTTTCCATCCATCCATTCATCCACTCATGTATTGCTTTAGATGGCAGCAGCAATCTGTCAAAACTTCTGTCATAACCTGTTGTTAGTGCTGCCTCAGAAATCAAATCTAGATTTTGCCTCTTCTGCTACAAAGACCACCATCTCTGAGCATCAACCAGTATGTATCTCCACCCAATCTGCCTTCATCCTTTCTTGTAACCGTTGATCAATCATCGGAGACGAAGCCCTTAATTATACCTTAATTGCTGCTAGTCTGACATACCTCTTGCTTGAATCCTACTAGTACTTTGCTCTCCTAGATGGATTATAATTCAGGTTTTAGACCCTGTGATTCAGTGTTCCAGGCATAAAACCTACACAGCAGGTGATGAGGTTTATTGCAATGTCCTTGTGTTCAGGGTCAATGCCAGCAACTAAGGAGCAGCAGAGGCAGTGAACTGATTTGGCTGTGTGCCTTCCAGTTCTTAAGTCCCTGAAGTTGTTTACCTTCCAAATGACCCTGGCCTTTGGTAATATCTCATAGCAGCCTCTCTCCAACTAATATGGCAACCAGCCATGCAACTTTGAGTCTGGAGAAATCAGGGGTATTATTTTGAGAGCACATTACTTGGGAGGATGAAGATAGTGGAAATGTGTAGGAATTGGCAAATATTAGGAAGAAGTTGTTTTTGAAAAAATAAATATTTCTGCCAATTAGAATCTAATCTTCCTCTAAAGATCTCTAAGGTCCTTTCATTTCTTTCAGTCCATTACTTAGATATCAAAGAACACAGTCTCACCACAATAGGGACCAATTCTTCCCCCCCACCTTTTTTTTTTCCTAGAATGATGTTTATATTTTGGCAGGCTTTCTCTCGTGTGGCTTAAAGAACCACATGTGTTTAGAGGCATTCTATCAAGTAGTTTAAAGAGCATAAAACTTGCAGTAATATTTTTGGGAGTAAATTTTATTGTTACGGCTTTAAAACACAATCAAATAAAAACAAGAATTCCATTAGTAGTTGAATATTGTAATAATAGAGTTGAAAATAAATTTTATAGCTATAGGAACTATAAAACAGCAATAATAAAAAACACTATTATTGTGAATAAATTGTATTGAGATGACTAACTAGAAAGCTATAAAACACAACGATAAGGAATAATCTAATCACCAGGAAAGATGTGATAATAATTCACCCTTGTTAGCGAGGAGCCCATGGTTACAGTTCATTGGCCCCAGTGTTCTGGGTTACTGCTTACATTCCATAAGGTTATAGAAAGATAATCTTTGGCCAGTGGGGTTGGCAGGAGACCACATATTACACTGAAATTGGACATGGGGATTGAGGAAAATCCAATTATCAGTGGCTGTTAGGAAAAACCCCATGTAGTAATGCCAATGTCCTCACAACACATTTTTAAAATTATTTGCAGTTTCCTGCTGACCATTTATATGTATTATTTGACTGTGCATTTCATGTATTTTTATTTTTGTTCCTTTGTCTCATAATGACTGTATGGAAGGGCATTTGTTGGAGGTGTTATGGTAACCTTGCCTTTTATTTAGACTATCCATGCATCCTTCTGCCACGAGTCCATCTTGAGTTCCTATTCTAATGAGCAGGAAATGAAAAGAAGGCACCCTCAAACTTAGGTCCTACTCCTTTCTGTGGAACTGACGCTCCATTAAAACCCTTGCTACAGAATTAGTACCACTCAGATGCCTTCATGAGGGGAAGGGTGCTGTGGGGAGTGCATTTTACTCCTTGTTCAGAACATCAAGGTTTAAATTTGAGATTGCTAAATTAACTATATCCTAAGAAGATGATGGAAGATCGGAAGAGTGCAGCTTCCGTTGGGGAGCTTGGTCTTAGGTAAGCTATTCGGAGTTACTGCCTTCACCTTCTTACTCCCCTTTCCTTCTGTAACCAGCTCCAGTCAGGCTTTTGCCCCTGTGGCGTGTTTACTGAAATAGCTCTAATCAAGGTCTCCAGGACACCTAATGGAGTTAGTTCTAGGACTTTGTCTGACTCCACTTTTTAGCATTTGACCCCGCAAATAATTCTCACTTTCTTGAAGTCCTTTCTTCACTTGAGTTCTGGGGCACAGTGGGATTCTAGGTGGCAAAGGACTTCATTTAAATCCTCTACCTGTTCTGTATTCAGGTTGATCTTGCTCATGTAGATCTTTAGCTGCAAACTGACTTGGCTTTTACTGGTCATTGGTTTGAGACTTAGGCATGTCAGAAAACACAGTGTGGTGTCTATTAATAGAGTCCTTTATGTGAGACAAAGGTGGGGGAAATCACCTAAGGAATTTAAACTGTTTTCACTGTTCACAACTGGAGAGACCTGGGTTTGCACAAGAAGTGGTCCATCAGAACACGAGAAGGCACTTGATCCTGAACAAGCCTTAGATTGTGAGAAGGAGTGGATTCTGAATAAATGACCATGCCCACCATGATAAGAGTAAAAGACACTCCATCTCCTGGGCCCAGCAGGCCTGCATGGAAGGAGAAGCAGTAGTAGTGGCTCCTGAGCACAGGCCACAGGGATTCTTAGAAACACAGATGGGACTTTATTTGTCCCATATTGGGTTACATAAATGCTGAGGAAATTTACTTTGGGGTCTGGTAGAATCAAGAGCTTGTATAAATTGGCTTCTAGAGGAGAAATGAGATGTAAAGTGGTAAAGTGTTTTCCACGGTTCAAAAATGTGTTTGAGGACATGATGGAGTTAATGAAGCAATTGCTCAATTGTTTCTGCTGAGGCATCCATTGACTGACTTATCTTATCTTGTCTGTGAGCCAAGGTCTTGCTTGATGCATTCTCAGAGACATTGAGTTACTGACCAGAAATAGAGGCCCAGGATTCTCTAGCTCTGTCTACAGAAGAATGAAGCCACTACTTGGGACCCTTTACCTTTTGGGGATGCTGGTTCCTAGGGGGCTGGGATATGATAGGTGAGTGTGAAGTGGGAAGAGGGACTTTTATGATTTAGATTGTCTAAATGGAAATTTTTTTTCAAAATCTGTGCAGCTAGATTCTTCCCACTTCTGATATATGTGCACCACCAAAATAACAGTGATTATGGGGTTCTATCATGGAATATTACTCTAATAATTCTTTACTAAAGAAATATCTCACAAACATTTCCTAGAACAATTTATGACAAACACCAACAGCTATCTCATGTTTTATGATTGGAGAGAGGAAATTATAATAAAAATTCTACTTCTCTTATTTTCATAGTTTCTCAACTGGTAAATCACATTATTCTAATTATTAAGAAAAGTGTTTAAAATTATCAAATAATTTCACCTGGAATAATTACTGTTAATATTTTGGATAGATAGATACCTAATTATGTTTATGGCACTATTACTGAAATTTTTCAGTTAAATTCCTTTGAAAAGATTTTCCTATGGTATTTGTAATTAATTTAATAAAACCTTCTGCAATTGCTGTTTTCTCATTAATTTCTGTCTTCTCATTTTTACAAATAATGCCATGCTGAGTAACCAGCTAAATAATTGTTTCTTTTCCAAATTTTTATTTTCCTAATATAAGTTATAAAAAGTGAAATCACTGGGTCAAAGTGAAAAATATCCACTATTGACTTTCTTTGTACTTTGTTGATTTTAATCAGGTGAAATACTTTGTCTTATTCATTACTCAGTTTTTTAAACTCTATTTGCCATTCATGTCATTTGCCCATTTTTGGTGCTTTGCCTATTCTTAAGGGATCATAACTTCTCTAAATATATAACAAATGTTAATCTCTCTCTCTCTCTCTCTCTCTCTCTCTCTCTGTGTGTGGTTTCATTAATAAAGTATATTTTCCCTTATTCATACATAGCTCATTATTTCCCTCCTTTGCCATATTTCATGAACTATGTGTGGTTCATGAACTATCCATGATTCATGATTAAAGTAATCTTGCAACAAACTTGTTCTCACAGGGCAGAGAAACCCACCCTGAGTTTTGCCCCACATGGGTGACCTCAGACAGACTGATTTAGAATATATATAAAGAGAGTTCAGGATGTATGTGAGGCCAAAAACCTGTATATACATTTCTGTCTCAGTTCTTACATTAGTTGACTTGCTTTCATATATATAGTGCATTTACCTTCCTGAGATTTTTTATCCATAATTCAAGACCAAGACTCTTATTTCTTTCACAAGGAAAATATGAAAAAATTAGCCTGCTTAAAGATATCAAGAACCTTAAAACATACATCTTTTGACGTAATGTCCCTATGTCTGGAAATCTATACTGAGGAAATCAACTAAAATATGGAAAGAGTTTTACACATGGAGATGCAGCTTTATTTTAATATAAAGATTATAGTATTTGAAAATTACCTAAATGTCCCATATAATGGTTATATAAATGCTGATGTATGATATATGACACTGAAATATTATTCATTCCACTCAAAAATAATATTTAAAAAATTAATAGCATGAGAAAATTTATGTTTTATGCTAAAGAAAAGATATAAAGTACAAAATAAAATTAAATACTTAAAAATATATGCCAAAATGGTAATTATTATTTTGGGTGATTTTTTCCCCTTTCTTCCACTAGTTTTTACTTTGAAAATATTACATAATGAAATATATAATACTTTCATTTAAAGAAAAATATTGGCATGTCCAAGTCAATTAGCGATTAGGCTCAGGCAGAAGAACATAGAACACAGGGTGTCCACTGGACAACTCCTTTGATTGCATTCAGTGAAGATATTTCAAATCTTTTTGACTTTGTCCTTATTGAGTATTTTTATTTTTGTTATTATTTGCTGATATAAAATAATCTTCACCTTCATGTTACTTTTACCAACTCAAAACCTATAGGTTAGCTGCAAGTTTCAAAACTCTCTATTCACTACAATATGTACAATGATAGTCTAAAACTAATAGATATTACAAGTTTATACTTGTTTATATATATTTCATACTTTCCCTAAAAAGTCTGCATCTATAAAATCATTTAGGATTTAGCCATATGAATCAAATAGCTTAAAAATGTTTTTCCTCTTTGACAAGGGAATAATCAGAAATGAGAATAAATATTTATACAAGAAGTTATTAGCTGCATAATTATTTATAATGACTACTCCCCCAAAAGAAATAGTTTAATCTAGCACAGAGAAAATATTGAAATAAATGATACTATGTAAAATATATTAATTGTAAAATATTATGCAGTCATTAAAAATAATGCTTAAAAAGAGTTTTCATTGGTTCAAGGAAATGTCTCTGGTAAGAAATGGAATTAAAAACAGTAAATTCAAAATCATACAAAGAGATCTAACTTGCTATAAATATATGCAAGACGGAAAGGAAATATGTCAAAATATCAACAGGGATTCACTCAAGGAGGTGGAATTATTGAGATTATTCCTTTCTTCTTTTATCTATTTTTCTACTATTATTTATAACATATACTTAAGGTATGTTAAATTTGTAAGCAGGAAAGTAAAAATTGGAAATATATTGCTGCATGAAATATTCATATGACTGTTTCTTTGCTAAGTATTTAAAACACAAAATTTGCCTCAATATTCATTATTTTCAGCCTCTTTATAAATTCCACTGAAAATTTTATTCAAGCAATCTTTGATCTGTAGCATTTATTAATAATGCACCCCAAAGGATCATTTTCTCTGTTAAACATTTTATGAATTTCTGTTCAAAAAGAATACACAAAGTACAATAATCTTTTCATTTGCTTGGTGAGAAGAGACTAGTGATAATTTGGGGGATTAGCCTGCTTTTTCTTCTCCTTCCTACATGTATTATGCATTAGCCAAGAAATTGCCTAGAAACAGGGAACAGCCTTTGTAAGTAAATGGCTTAAACATTCACTTGAACTAAGTATTAGAGTTTCTGGGATTTAAGTATTGTTTTAGTTTTGAATAAAAATGATAAGCACTTTTAATATTAGTGGTTTTCACCCAAATCCCAGCCCGTTATGTTTCTGGCATATTAGATGGACCCAGTCATTCAATGCTGAGTTTAGAAAACAACACACTCACATGTCGTGAATATTAGCTGGGGACAGCCAAATGTTGGTGCTTGAGGGCTTCCTCTGCTTTAATTTATTCCACTCTGTGTTGTGACATTTCCAGGGGATCTCAGCCCACTTGAAACAAAAATCCTGCAAGTGTAATCCTGCTTTTTAGTGTATCATTAGCCTTCCCTATCTGTGGATTTCACATATACCAATACAGCCAACTACAGATTGAAAATATTTGGGAAAAGAATTGTGTCTATTTGCAGACTTCTTTTCTTATTATAATTCCCCAAACAACGCAGTATAAAAATTGTTTATACAGCATTAGGTATTATAAGTAATCTAGAAATTACTCGAAGTATACACAGGAGGATGTTTGTAAGTATTATGCAAATACCACAACATTTGATCTAAGGGACTTGAACATCTTAGGGCAGGGGGTGTTCCTGGAACTAATCTACCTGGGGAACCTAGGGAGGACCACACTCCCTTTCCCACTCCACTGAGCAGATGACTGTGATAAGACAAACCCCAGACGACTGCTCAACTCTGTGAAGGAACCAAGAACAGTTACCACCCTCGTAAGCAGCACTGCTGTGCAAGTGTCTCCAGGGACCTTGTTTCCTGGCAAGAATGACAGGCAGAACAACCAGGGTGAGGAACCAGGTTCAAGTTTCATTTCTTTATTTGTAAAATGAGAAAATAACAGCATCTTCTCAAAGGATTCTTATAGGGATGAAATAAATTAATCCATGTTTAACAATTAACACAAAATTTCTATGAAATCAATTGCTTATAAATTTTAGGACACAATAATTTGAAACAAAGCAAAAAACACATTTACATGCAATGCTATTAAAAATAAAAATTTTACTAAGAATAATTTAGCCATCTAATTAGTATTATTCTTAAACTATGCCAAGCTACAAAATATTTGATATAATTAACTGAAACACAAATTCTAACCTTTATCTAAGTACAACAAATAGATAAATTATATTTTATTTTTTTTACCTAGTTCATTTAGTATTATGTACCACAACTAACTACTCTAATGGAAATTGATTTCTCCACAGAATTTCATTACTTTAAACTTGGAGTTGCATTAATTATTCTTAATTATTAATAATACTTAAAATAATAATTTGAATTTAACAAAAGCTCTTTGTCCTCAAAATTGTAAATGTTTAATTACACTGTTGGAATGAATATTTAGCTTTCCCAAGTGAAAATATCAAGAGATTGGATTATCTAAATGATTAGCTAAAACAATGAAAATAAATTTTAAAAGATTAAAAGAAACAAATATTATTTAAATTGTAATAGTTGAGGAGCAAAGTGCTTATTCATATTATTCATAAAATCATTTCTAATGTTTATTATTCACACACACACATATATGTATAGATTCAAATAATATGTTGACACTGATTGTTCTAAAAGATATCATTTTAGATGGAAGAATACATATACCCCCTAGTGTGTTTCAAATTTATAAAAATTCAATTACAATTAAATGTAATTTAAATGCACATTTTATGTCTACTAACTAATCAGAAAATATACTTTACAATAACATTAGTTAACTCTTACTGAGCACCATATGCAGGGTGCTGGTCAAAGTGCTTTATATCATCCAATTTATCCATTCAACGACCAATGGGTAGGTCTTCTTATTACTTTATATGAAAGTAGTAATTGGTAGTAGTAACAGAAGATTTCTTTCTTGCATTTTAAAATCTACTTTGAAAAGCAAAACTAATTTAGCTATTAAATAACAAGATAGGAGATGTAATAAACAAGTACCTGATTACCAATTAAATGTCGCTCAAGGTACATAAAAGTCAGGAAAGGGAGAATTCCAAACTCAGGCTTAGCCAATAACAACAACCACCAACATTTTACTAGAACTGTTTTCAGAACTTGATATCTATGTTTCTATATCTATATATCTGTCTATATGACTCATTTAACTTTAATAACAACCTTTTGATCTTGACTGCAAATACTATCATTTTTATGTTCTTTTTTTTCTTAAGACTTTAATACATAGGCTCAACTACTTTGTATTACACCCTAAAATATCAGTTGAAATGTCTACTAGCCCATTTCTAAATTGGCTACTTTTGATTTTAACTACAAAGAGAACAATAAGTATCCCTGTTTAGATGTCACTAGAAAATACTTTTAACCCTTTTCAGAATGGGGAGAAGAGGAAATGAAGCAAATGAATGCCATCTTTCTAGCCTCTTCTTGAACCTGGTTCCTCACCCTGGTTGTTCTGCCTGTCATTCTTGCCAGGAAACAAGGTCCCTGGAGACACTTGCACAGCAGTGCTGCTTACGAACAACCAACAATAAAAAATTTAAAAAAAAAGAAATGAAAACTTAGAGATAAAGAAGGGACAACACCATAAAAGTTTCTCCTTTTTTGAAAGTGGAAAAACAGATAAAATTTATTGAAATATTAGCTCATTAGATCTCTGACACATTCTCTTGCAATTCAGGATAATGTACAAAATTTGCACCACAGCATCATCAAAAACTCACACCCCTGTTCCCTTGCCATAGTAATCATTTACTGGGCAAATGAATTAACAGTATGCTTTCACAATGAAATCAGAACCCAGTTTTTTGCTTAAACAAAGCTTTTTGGCTAGGATCTAAAACATTCATCAAATGTTTGTGTGGTTTAGAGAGAGACTAATAATTGTATGACTTACTGGCTCTGTGACTCTTTGCAAGTGACTTAATTTCTTCTGGTCTTACTTGTAGAATCTAAATAATAACACTTCAGAGGGCCATAGGAATTTTTAATGCAATATCTGGTACAGAGGAGGAACTGTATGGTCTTATTAAACTGCTAAAAGATAAATCACAAGTAGATAGTTGGAACAAGCCTATATCTATTAAAGACAATGAATATATGATCAATAACCCTCTCAAACAGAAAGCATCACAGAAAGTATCACACCCAGGTGGGTAAACTGGTGAATTCTCCCAAATATTTAAAGAAGAAGTTATACCAATTCTCCATAATCCTTTTAGAAGTTAGAAGCCCAAAGAATACTTCCTAATCCATTCTATGAGGCCAGAAATACCCTAAAACCAAAATCAGACAAAGACATTACAAGGAAAGAAAACTACAGAACAAAATCTCTCATAAACATAGATATAAGCACCTTGGAAAATTCAATATAGTTATATATAAAAAGAATTACATACCATGACCAAATGTAATTTATCCCAGTTATGCAAGTCTGCTTTAACATTCAAAAATCAATTAATGTTATCCACTACAACTACAGGCTAACGAAAGAAAATCACACGATCATATTGATAGATGTAGAAAAAGTATTTGACAAAATCTGATACTCATTTATGATATAAAAAGAACAACTTCAACTAGCACACTAAGAGAACATATTTACTCATAGTATATAATTAAGAACATAAAAGATACATAGAGAACATAAAAACCCTGTAGCTAACATCATAATTAATGGTGAAAAATTAGAAGTGTGCCCGTTAAGAACAGTCAATAAAAGGACATTTGTCCTCACAAATGTTTTCCAAAATTCTGATGGAAGGCCTTAGCTAATGAAATGAGACAAGAAAAAGAAATAAAAGGTATACATATTAGAAAGGAAGAAATAAAACTGTTCTTGTTTGCAAATGACATGATTATGTGTGTAGAAAATCGGAATCAGGAACCAAAACACCTCCCAAAACAAATAAGTGATTATAGCAAAGTTGCTGGATATGAGGTTAACATAGGAAAATCAATTGATTTCCTATGTACTAAGCAATGAATAGGTAATTTTAAATAAAAAGAAAACATGTTATCACTTATGTTAATGCCTGCCAACTGAAATGCTTAGGCATAAATCTAGCAAACCTAGCATACCTATAAAATTCTTATGAAACAAGTCAGAGAAGAACCAAAATACATAGAGGCATATTCTATGCTCATAAATGAGAAAAATTGTCAAGATGTCATTTCTTCACAACTTTATCTATAGTTTCAATGCAATCTCAATCAAAATTCCAGAAAGTTATTTTGTGGTTATCAACAAACTGATTCTAGGGTTGGGGTTGCCTAGATTGTGTGAAGCACTGGGGTTCGATCCTCAGCACTACATATGAACAAATAAAGTCCATCGACAGCTAAAACATATTTTAAAAAAACTGATTCTAAAGTTTATGTGGAAAAATACAAGTCACAGAATAGCTAACAAATTGTTGAAAGAGAAGTATAAAGTCAGAGAACTGACACTACCTGATTTCCAAACTAAATATGAAGCTATAGTAATCAAGACACTGGAGTATTGGCAAAAGAATAGACAAATCAGTGGAAGAAAACAGGGAACTCAGAAATAGACACACATAAATATAGCCAACTTATCTTTGACAAAGGAGCAAAGATAATACAACAGAGCAAAATATTCAACACACAATACCAGGATAATAACTAGACATCCAGACACAAAAGAGTGAATCACGATATTAATTTAATAATGTATCATAGGCTTAAATTTTAAATGCAAAACCATAAAACTCTAGAAGATAACTTAGGGTAAAACCTAAATGATTTGGGGTATGGAAATTAAATTATAGATACAACAGAAAAGGCACAATATATGAAAGCTGAGCTTCATTGCAAAAGCAAATGTGAAGACAATGAGAAGACAAGCCATGAACTCAGAGAAAATATTTAGGAAAGGTAGATCTGAGAAAAAACCTGGGTACAAAATATACAAAGAACTCTTAAAACTCATCAATTTTAAAAAAGACCAATCTGATTTTAAAAATGGACAAAAACATCTGAAGAGTTACATTACCAAAGATAATATAGAGATGGTAATTAAATGCATGTAAAAATGTTTTATATCATCTGTCAGTAGAGAATTTCAAATTAAGACAACAATGATATACCATAGCATATCTACTAAAGTGACCCAAATTCCAAACACTGACAATACCAAATGTCACTGAGGATGTGGAGGAACCAGAACTCACATTCATTACTGGTGGGAATGCAAAAGGTTTCAGCAATTTTGGAAGTTAGATCCTTATAAAACGTAACATACTTTACCCTATGATCCAGAAATTATACTTCTTAGTATTCACTCAAGTGAATAAATGATTCAAAAAATGTCATCACAAAAACCTTCACATGAATGTTTATGACAGCTTTATTAATAGTTGCCAAAAACTTGGAAGCAATCAAGATGCCTTTTGATAGATGAATAGTTAAATAAATTATTGTGCATGCAAGTAAAGGAATATTATACAGACCCAACAAAGAGATGAGTAATCAAGTCATGAGAAGACATGGAGGAAATGTGTATTAGTCATTGAAAAAAAGCCAGTCTGAAAAGGCTACATCTTGTATTCTTCTGACTATATGATATTATGCAAAAGCTAAACTATGGCAACAGAAAAAAATAAGTACTTGCCAGGGGTTGGGAGGGTGAAAGCTGAATTAGCAGAGCACAGATAATTTTTAGAGCAGTAAAACTATTCTGCAGGATACTATAATGCTTGATATGTGTCATCAAACATTTGTATAAACCCGTGGAATGTACAAGCATGAACCCAGATATAAACTTTGGACTTTGTGTGATGATGTGTCAGTTTATGTTCATTGGTTGTAACAAATGTGCCACTGTGTTGTTGGATGCTCATAATGGCAGGAGGTTTTGCATGTGTGAGAAAATGGGGTGAATGGGACCATCTGTACTTTCCACTTAATTTTCCTGTGAACCTAAAAGTGCTCTAAAAATGTTTACTTAAAGAAAAGATAAACCACTGCATAAAGATTAGTTCTCACCATTATATAGAGCACAGTGGTTAATATTACATGCTCTTTAGTCAGACTGTTAAGGTTTAAATCCCAATAACACTTTCCAGGTGATTCAGTTTCTTCATGTCTGAAATAGAGATAATAAGAGTATCTATCTCAGAGTGTTAGAAGTAAATGAGATTTAAATTGCTTAGAACAGTGCATGTCTCATAAAAAGTTTGAGTTCAATAAATCTTAGCTATTATTCCTTTTACAAATTTAAAAGTGTGTTTTATCTGCACTGTCTTATTGAATCATCCTAGCTTCCCTGCAGGTTGAAATGATTGTCCTCACCCTATAGATAAAGAAATTACAGCTCAGAGTGGCTAAATGGTTGCCCAAGATCTCACAATTAGTAAATCACAGAGACAGGATTCAACACTGGTTTTTGTACTTCAAATCCTGTGCACACTGATTTCTGCTACCTTTCTGATCAACTTTCTAACCTTCAGAATATCCTTCTTTCTTCACTGCGTTTGATCCTGTGTTCTTCCCTTTGCAGATCCTTAGCACAACACAGGAATCAGGTTGTGGACAAGACAGGGAGTCTGTGGAAGAACCTGGAGACCTATTCCTACAACAAGTACCACCCCATGGAGGAGGTGAGCAAGGGCTTTACATGGGGGAGGAGCCGGACGTCATGATTGTTTTAAGGATGTACAAGAGAGGTTTCTTTGTTAATATCCATGTCAAAATAAGGAGTTAGAAACCTCAGTTTACATGTTTGGGGAAGGGCATAACAGGGTTTCTTTCTAATCTTAGAACATAGCAAAAGATATTGTTGGTGCATTAGTCTGCTTTTCATTACTATGATGAAATAGCTGAGGGAGATAGGCTTAACTTTATAAAGAAGAAGTTTATTTTGCTGAAATAAATTTTAAGCCTGAAAAGTCCAAAGAGCATGGTGCAGTTTCTAGTTTAGCTGCATCTGCTCATGGTGGGTGGCAAAGGCAGGATCATATGTGGGAGGAAGACATAACATCATCAAACAGGAAGCTAGAGAGTCTAGGGGTCAGGCTTAGGCTTTTGTCACCATTCATCCCCAAGAGAGTTCCCTCCAGAGGATGGTTTTCCCTTCTTAGGATAGAGTTCCCAATAACCTAATGACTTCCCACTAGGTCACACCTCTTAAAAGTTCCACCAGCTCCCACATCACCATACTGGGGATCAAGTCTCCAATACACATGAACCCTTGGAGCACAAACAACATCCAAACCACAATCATTGGGATCCATAAAGATGGAAGAAGGACCCACCAGATAAGCTTAACCCGAAATTTCTGGCTTGACTATGTGCCACAGGAAAGCAAATTCTAATGATGGTGAAAAGGTTGTGTTATATGTTGTCTCTCAGTGTTCCTGGTGGATTATTAAAGTTGTTAATTCTCAATTACTTATTCATAAAGTTAGTTCAGCAGGGTGTCCTAAGACTTGTAGGCAGAGTAGAGTTTTAGAGAAAAGGAAAGGTGGGAGAGAAATGGTACACAGGTTTAGTTTTCTGTTTTGTTTACAACAGTGTATAGTTCAATGTCTTTGTGAGAGAAAAGGTTATCTTAGAGGCAATCAAGTCTCTTCCTATTGATAGCCATGGTCCTCCTGGGCTGTTTCAGATCTATCTGTGGATGAGCCAGATCAGTGAGAAGCATGCAGAAGTGGTGACACAGCATCTCCTGGGAATGACATTTGAGAACAGGCCCATGTATTACCTGAAGGTGAGTGAAAGGGCCAGAAGGGCCTTCCTTGGAGAACCCCTTCTCCATCTGAGGGTCGTGTTGAAGACTAAGGAAGGGCTCTATCAGAAATGTGGGAGAAGTTAAAAGGAGCAGAGCAGAAAGTCATTTTCCTTTCCACTCCAAACTGGGCTTTTAAAATTCCAAACATATTGATGTGTATGCCTTGATCATGTGGGTGGGGCTAGAGAGGTAGGACTAAAAGAAGCAGGCCCCAGAGGTGGCCATTCCCACACATGCCTCTGCCTTAGCCAGTTCACTTGCCATCTGCATTTTAAATGTTTTCTAAAGTATTTTCTCTTTTTATTAAAAAAAAGAAAGAATTTTTTTTCATAAAAGTATTTTCAAGTTGCAGACAATCTTCATTATTAGTTCTTTCATTTTATATTTGAAGTTACAAAGATCAAGAGAAGCAAGGTGACTTTTTTAAGGTCCCACAGCTGAATAATTCCACAGCCAGGGGAACAACCAGGTCTCCAGGTTCTCCTGCCCCTTTTGCATATGACATGGTGAAAACTACTTGGGATCAGACAGCCACTCTTCCACAAGGCCAGGACTTCTGGGCTCCCAGTTCTGGACCACTGGTTTTCTATCCTGGCTACACATTACAATTACCTGGAAACTGCAGAATAATTTGTTGCCTAGGTGCCACCTACAGAGATGGTGGCCTATTGTTCCAGGATGGGGGCAGGCATGCTTTGAAAGCTCCCCAGGTGATTTTCAATCTGTAGCTGAGTTAACAACCACTGCACCCAACCAGTGGTTTTCAAACGGTGGTCCTTGGACTCACAGCATCAGCATCACCTGGGAATTGGCTAGAAAAGCATATTCTCCGGATGGATTCTAGCCATGTGTGTTTTAACAATCCCTGCTAATCCTGATGCACACTTGAGTTTTAGAACTACAATGTGTTTCTAACAAGTACCTCAGAGACATTGATATTGCTGGCCAAGACCACTCTTCAGGTACCTCCACCAAAATAGTCTGGCATTTATTTAGTGTTATTTATTTTACTGCTTTTATCTTGTACAGATATGTCAATCTACAAAGCAAAACCCCAAAGTGAGAGTTGTCACAACTACTGTGTGTGTGTGTATGTGTATGTGTGTGTGTGTGTGTGTGTGTGTGTATATGTGTATATATATATATATATATATATATATATATATATATCAGAAATAAAATTTATCCAGGGATGAAGTAGTTGGTGATGTGGAAGCATGGTGCACCTGCCAACCTGATTTTCAATAGACCCTCAAACTCTGAACTAAGACAACATGACACAACATCCTCTTCCCAGGGCATGTCATAAGCATAGAAGGAGTATATAATAAGGAGGCAATAAAGGTAAACTTATAATTAACACACATGTTCTGATAAAATAGGGCAGTTATTCAAATTAGGAGGTGAATTAGGAGTTGCCATGGAAGTTTTGAAAAATAGATGAGGTTAAGGAATTTGAATATGATTGGTCCAGCCATGTATTTATCTCAATTTTTAAGTATCTCCTGGAGGGAGAGAGCCTTCACCAGCCCAGCTTCCAGTGATTTTCAATAAAAAGCACTGGTCTAGGCCACTAACAAATGTAAAACAGATATGACTGTTAAAGCATGGGACTATTTACAGCCCTTTCTCCACAAAGGAGAATCCACGATTGCTAGTTTAATTCCTATATGCCCACTCCTCTGAAGAAGGAGGGCATCTTTCTTGCTGAAGTGAACCGGGACTATATCCAAGAATAACAAACGTGCAGAGAAGAAAGAAGGTTGAGCTGTCTGGGCCTGGAGGAATCTCCAAGCAAAAGGAGAATTCCATTAGTGTTTCAGGAGACTGTGTATTTGATATCTTCACAGTTTCAGGAAGGGTAAGATTGGGATTTATTTTAAACTCCTTTTGATTCTTTAACATTGTCTCTTGTGCATTTTGCTACTCTGAATGAACTCTATGTATAAAACTGTCATAAGGTTTATAGGAATTTAGCCTTTTGGCTTGTGGCTTTGGGGACTTATATGTTTGTCCATCATTAAGGAATAACTTAGGGTATGGAGAAGGCCACTTTTTGGGTGGGTGTGCATGGTCCTGAGAAGAACTACCAAAGAAGTCAACAAGCAGGAGAAAAAGAGTAGCAGGGAGAAGGGTCACATTGTTGGATGTCTCCACAAACGATGTTGTCACCTTCTTGAAACCAGAGTGCAATAAGAAAGGGAAATGCAGGGGAATGAACATGAACCCTAGTTCATGTTCATGAATGAACCCTAGTTTTTCACCTGTTTTTCACCCTGTAACAGTGGCTTACAATAATAAGTGACTATTGGGTAATCGAGCATGGATTCTCCCCCTCCACAGATCAGCCAACCATCTGATAACCCCAAGAAGATCATTTGGATGGACTGTGGAATTCATGCCAGAGAATGGATTGCCCCTGCTTTTTGTCAGTGGTTTGTGAAAGAAGTAAGTGTGTTTAGTTTCTTCCTAATGGTAAAATACTTCTTAAAACATCTATTACTTCTTGGCAACTTAGAATCCATGCTCCTTTCACATGTTAACAATGAAACTCTTCACCAAACTAATCCTTCACCTCAAGTGAAATAGAGTTAGGGGCTAGGGATACAGCTCAGTTGGTAGAGTGCTTGCCTTGCTTGCACAAGGCCCTGGGTTCAATCCCCAGCACCACTACCAAAAACATAAAATAAAATAAAATAAAAATAAAGAAAGAGAGTTAATGAGTAGCTTTTCTGAAAAGTTAGTATCCTGATCTTTTTCCTAGTACATCCAAAGTCACTTTTATTGGAGGATATACATTTCTAACTATAAAAGATGATTCATTTTGGGAGTCATAGATGAGTTTGAACCCTGGGCCTGTCTCTTTTAAATAGTATTGGGCAAATTTCCTACACTAGGAACCCTAGTTTTTCACCTGTCAAGGGTGTATGAAATGACTATTTCGTGGGTTTGCCATGTGGATTAAAAGATTTGGCATATGGAAAATACTCAGCACAATGAATTTTTGTATATTATTTATATCCCTCCCTTTAGGGGAGTAAGAAACCTTTAAAAGTAATCTGATACTTTTTGTGTCAGTATTTTCAGAAACCCAAATATAAATACATATTTTTAATATTATATATTTATGTTATGTATAATATTTAAAATATTACATATAATTTTTCAATTTATTTATATATGTATAGAAATAAAGTAACCCACAGAAGTACTTCTTGAAATGTGGCCTCCAAACCAACAGCATCAACATCAATGGGAACTTATTGAAAATACAAATTCTTGGCTCATCTGAAATTTAGTAAATCAGAAGCTCAGGAGGAGAGGGAGGAAAAAGGAAAACAGATAAAGCCAGACAATCTATTTTACAAGGTCCTCCAGGTGATTCTGGTGCATGATAAAGTTTGAGAACCACAACTATAAAGAATAAGATAACTAAGGAAGGGTGGGAACTGGAGGGTAGAGGTGTACTATGCAGTCATAAATTGAAATTCACAGAAAATCGTGAGGAAAAAAAAAACTTCTTAGAATCAAATGTTTATCTCTTAAATTTCCAGATTCTGCAAAACTATAAAGATAATCCAAGAATAAACAGGTTCCTTAGGAATCTGGACTTCTATGTGCTTCCAGTTCTTAACATAGATGGCTACATCTACTCGTGGACAACTGTGAGTACCCGGGGTTGGTCCTGGGATGCATTCATGAACCAAAGTTCCATTCGGCTCACTACTCCAACCTCCCCTGTTCTAGCTATAAAAATATATGGTACCCATGTAAATAAAGAAACACCACATGGGATTAAAAATCAGCTAAACATTTTTTTAATCAAAGAGTCAAAGTCAATTTTAAGATTGAGGAAACCTACAGCCTTCTTGGAGTTGAAGTCTAGCAGGGAGGGTATTTTCTTGGTTTCTGACACCTTCCCAATTTTCTAGTCCAATTTTCTCCTTGACTAGCTTCATGATGTTTTTGAATTTCCCATCACTCAGTTAGAATTATATGGATATAAAACTTATGTACCAACCTGTATCTGCCTCAGATCAGTACTAGAGGCTTAAGGAAATAAATGATGTATAAAAACTAAACAAAGCTATATTTCTCCATGTGATCATTCATGGAGGGGCAAACATCCCATGCAGTCTTTTTGTGGAGATCATAGACAGCTCTGTCCTGACAAGGTTTCTAAAGCTTGTCACTCCCTCTTTCTAGAGAGCACTCTTCCTCCCTCTGCTCTCCTCCCCAAAAGTCCCTTGGGGGCGGGGGGGGGGTGTCTCTGTCTCTGGAACAGACTTTCTTGCCTTTGTGTGAATTGAGTCCCTCCCTCTGAGCTTGGCTGGTGAAACTTGTCTTTCTCTCCATCTCCCCTAATCAGTCATCTGCTTCCAGAAACGTGCAGAGACCATCTCTGATACACCTGGAACAGCCTTTTTCCATCTGTCAAGCTATTTCCCTTTCATCCTGTATCACTCAGCCCTTAAAAATGACTCGGAGATTTGCTCTGAGTAAGCGGGTCACGTCCACAGGCGCAGCTGATCTGCTCCGGAGGAAAAAGCCAAACTACTTCCTCCAATTTGATTGTTTACACATTTGCATGCTTTTGGTTGTACAGATGTTTCTATGATTGGGGGTTGCTAGTCCATCTTCCAGACTAAAAATTACATGCATAGGCTTCGCCATGTTAAAAGCAAGTTTTTCCAGATAATCCTAGGAAACATTTTTCACATTCAAGGACCACCTGTCACCACTAACACTGTGATTTATGAAGCCTTGGAATGGCAACATCCTTTTTGGTTCCTCTGTTACAGGATCGTCTTTGGAGGAAATCCCGTTCATCCCACAATAATGGCACATGTTTTGGATCGGATCTCAATCGAAATTTCAATGTGTCCTGGTGTAGTAAGTACATGTCTACTGGATGAATTGGTGGGGGGGAAAAGAAGCGAGAAACAAGGAGTGAGGTGAATTACTAAAGATATCATTTTTTAAAATTTTGTACCGCTTTCTGAGCATTCTGTCCAGTTTTATTCCAAGAGTTGACATTATGTCTATAGTAAGAGTCATTGACACTCATGTACAGGACTCTCTTCAAGTGCAGATAGCTAAACAAGGACAAAGCAGACCTAGATCAGTACAAATATATCTAAAATTCTTCACTTTGTTTGAAGATATTTAGATCATCTTAAAGAAAAGAAAACCCAGAGCATTATCCTTGGAGATTATTGTACAGCAGGGAGGTAGCAATAAGCAAAGCAAACATTTTCTTCTCCTTATGGCACTTCTATGTTTCCAAATCTCAGTATGCCCAGAGAATTGGAAGCAGATAGAGGCAGGAATGGTTAAGAGCATTACCACTCACCAGATGGCAAGGGTTAATATTCAGACTTGGCAGCTGAGTGGTCTTGGAAAAAAAAATCACTTCATCTTTCTGCTTTAATTTTCTCTTATGTAAAATGTGAGTCACCATAATCCCACTTTATCAGAAGGTCACCATGAGGATTAAATGGGATGCTACATAGGAGAGGCTGGGTGCAGACTGAGCATGTAAGAGGTGCTCAACTTGATTGAGTTTTATTAATGAGCTTTATTATTGTTAATAAGGAGGACTCCTTACATCCTTGCAAAATAGCTCTAATGAGACTTAAGCCAGTAAGACACTGAAGGAGCGACTTAGGCCAATAAAATTATCAGAAATAGACTTAGGCACTTGGAGACTGATTCCCAAACATTTGTTTCAGAGTCCACCTCAGGTTTAAGTGAAAGATTACCAAAATGCCATTTCATTTTTGCACTCTCTCTCCTGGGCCATGGACTTGGTTTCTAAATCCTAATGTCAGGCCTCCTGCCTTTCTGAGTTGCTTCTTGCCTGATTATCCCCGGTGACTACCCAAGCCGACTAATTTACTCGGGATTGACTTAGTCAACCAAGGTCAAGTTTTGATACCACCCACAGATGCCCCAAGCAAGGATGACTCTTTGCCTTCATTCATTTCCAGATGGAGATCATGAAGGCTTCTTTGTCGTTTCTTGTACTTTCACAGGTATTGGTGCTTCCAAAAACTGCCAAGATTTAACATTCTGTGGGACAGAACCAGTGTCTGAACCAGAGACTAAAGCTGTCTCTGGCTTTGTAGAAAGCAAGAAGGAAGACATTTTGTGCTTCTTGACCATCCACTCTTACGGGCAGCTCATCCTCACTCCGTATGGCTACACCAAAAATAAACCAAGTAACCACGAAGAACTGGTAAGCCCACAGCACAGCCCTGTGGTCTCCAGAGAAACCCAAGGAGGCCCTCTGCTTCCTTTTCCTCGTCTCCTTTTGCAAGGGAGCCTCCAGCCTCCCTCGTCTTCTCTCTGCTCATCCTTATTTTCTTTTTTTCTGTGTTTCGTTCCTTGCCAGATGCCTGCTGAGAAGGCTTTGGGTTAAATGCTGCTTTACCTACATTAATTAACTACCTGTTTCATAAAGTGTCAAGTTGGGAGACATCTTAGGTATTCGCCTATAATATAAATGAGATGATTATGCTAATAATCTGCAGAAACGAGCTTTCGTTTCTGTAAATTCTCTTGAAACTCCAATCGGCAATTACAGCTTTTGAACCATGCTTTAAAGAACTTGCCAGCTGTTAGTGGAATATGGCATATCTGAAATAACATGGCTAAATAATATCTGCTCTCTTCTCTGCTAAACACAATTCTCTATTTTCTTTTAAACTCTTTCTACATCATTTGCCGGGGAATATCTGTAAGGGCAAGTATCAACAAGAGGCGAGCTGGTGCAGGGAAATTCTTTTGTGTTTTATCCACGTTCCTTTCTGAGGCAGTTTATCCAAGCCCTGGTGGGCAGAACTGCTAAAAAAGAAGTGGACTTTTTGCTCTTTGTAAACCTAAGGACAATAGTCACAAAACAAAGGGAGGGCACATACACAATTGTTGTAATATTTACTATTTTTATTTTTAATTCTTTTTTTCAGTTTCTAATTGTGATAAAGTACACTTAATAGAAAATCTACCATCTTAACCGTTTTTTAACTGTAGAGACCAAAGTATTCGCAGTGGTGTGCAACCAATTGCCAGAACTTTTTCATCTTGTGTAATTGAAGCCCACTAAACAACAACTCTCTGTTTCCCTCTACCACCAGCCCCTGGCTACTGCCATTCCACTATCTGTTTCTATGAGTTTGACTATCATAGATTCTTCATATAAATGGAATCATGTAGTATTTGTCTTTTTATAGCTGGCTTATTTCACTTAGTATAATGTCATCAGAGTTCATCTGTATTGTAGGATGTTGTCAAAATTTCTTTTCTTTCTAAGGCCAAATTATATTTCATCATATGTATAGGCCATGTTTTGCTTATCCATTTATCCACCAATGGACACTTAGGTTGCTTCCACTTTTCAGATATTGAAAATAATGCTACTATGAGTATGGGGTATGCAAATATCTCTTCAAGACCCTGCTTTTAAATCTTTTGGATATATATTCAGAAGCACAATTGCCAGATCACATAATTCCATGTTTAACTTTTTGAGGAAACACTAGATGGTTTTCCATAGTGGCTGCACCATTTTATGTATCCACCAACAATGCATAGAGTTCACTTTCTCCACGTTCTTGCTAATGCTTGTTATTTTCTGTTTAAGAAGCCCCTCATTATGTGCAAATGCTGGAATGGATGTGAGACAGCCTTATCTCAGAGGCCTGCTGGTTATGTTATTCTTCCTGACCCTCTCTTACTGGAAGATGACCCATAAAACACAAGATCTGGATACAAAAGGAAAACCCACTACAGATTTTTATTGGAGGGAACCCTTCCACCAGCAGTTAAAAATATCCAGCAATACTCCAGAACCTTTTGTACAATAACTTTTCCTCCCTTGGTCCAGGAAAACTTGTATTGCGGTCATTTTGTAGACAGTGGAAGTAACCCACATTTGACTATATCTTTACTATTTACAAAGGGATTTTACAGCCACTATCTCAGTTGATCCTTATAACAACAAAATAATCTCACTTTGGAGATGTAGAAACTGAGATCTTGGGATAACTATATTTGAAGACCCCTATAGACAGGAGGTGGAGGCCCAGCTGGACTCCCATGACCACCTTGGTGCCATTATTCTTACACTGTCTCTCTCTATTCAGAAAGGGTTTGCAACTTTTAGCAGCAATGATAATTTAGAGTCCCAGTCAACTATGTGCCATTTCTTCCTCATCGAGAAGCCCTAGAAGTTTCTTCAATAAAGAAATACGCAGAGCAGAGATTTCAGCCAAGAAGCTCAGAAACTTCTACATCCTCAGTTTCTGTGATTTTAGTTGTAGATTTCTACTTTCTCCTTCAAAGGAGTTGTGACAAAGCCAAGAGACTCTCCAAAGACATTATAGATCCTTAATGGGAAGGGGGTCTTCACCAACAGAAAGATCTTTGGTGGGAATGGCTTTCCACCAGCATTTATATACCCCAGTACTTTTCTTCCTTCTCTTTTTTGGCTCAGGAAGACAGATACTACATGACTATTTTGCAAGGTCTATATTCAAAGGTTAGAAGGCCTGTGTTACTGACAGGTTATCTGGTTAGATCCCAGTGACATAGGCTATAGAGTTAATAAGAAGTCAGGAGAGACTTGGGGCAATCATGCTGGCACTAGAGGTGGTAACTCTAAGACAAGAATGCTAGCAAATCCTTAGTACTAAACATAGAAATTGGAAAATTCTCTTGTATCTCTTACAGTCCCAGGTGCTGAAGAGTTCACATAAATGTTTAATCTAAGAATTTTCCATAGTTTGTTTTTCAGTGTGAAAAATTAGCAATCATGCTTCAACCTTATTGAAGCCACTTAGTGGTGCTTTTATGTTGTCAGGGTAGGTAAGCTTTGAACAAAGACACAGAATCAAGCCAACTGCTCCAAAGAGATTTTCATTTCTAACATTATTTATAATCACCAAAGACTAGCAATTAATCTCTCTGTATTTACAAAACCAAAAACTTTTGGAAATCATGATAAATATTACACTTCATGACAGACATCTTGGCAATCACTATGTAGGGGAAACATTACTATATATAGCTCCTTTTCTAAACTGCTCTGGCAATGAGAATAACTCTAAGAATTCTAATGTTTTACATGCTTCCATTATTTCCACTTTAATTATTTTCATATAAACCTCTTTATAACATCCCAAGCTCTGGTTCTTCCCTGCACATGCCAGGTCCTTAATCATACACCTGCCTGTGAATACATGCTTACAGGCATTTCTCTAGGCCTGGAGAAGGAGTTGCCCATCAGGCTATAGAGGTCTTTAGAGTGTAGAACATGATAATGTTCTACTGGCAAAGGAGTTTTTATCATTTTTACCAGGAAATACTTTTAACCTGAGAAGGGCCACAGAAGTATTGAATCTCTATGGCCTTGCAATACAGCATCAGGAGAGAGAAGTATACTCAGAGCTCCACCCTAGAGACGGAAATTAAAGTCAAAAGTCCAGGGGATTCCACAGCATCTTCTTGGAAATCACCTGATTTATAAGCTGAGGATCATTTCATATATGTGTGTATACACACACACACACAATATATATATATATATAAACACACAAACATATATATACATATATATACACAAACATATATATACATATATGTATATATATACATATATATGAAATATATATTATTATATGATATATATTTTAAATATGATATATGGTATAAATAAATTATATATATATATATATATATATATATATATATATATCCCTTATCTGCTTTCCCATAGTAATTACTAATGGAAAATTCTTTAAAAAAAAATAAAGTCCAAAAGTTTTGGGTTTTTTGTCTGTAAAGATGGGGGAGAAGACTATTTCTGGGAAGACTATTTCCTACCCTACAGCCAGGATTTGAGGAAAAGGAACTATAGAGAATAAAATAAAGCTGGCAATGGAAAGAAGAAATGATTGTCTGGGGTAAGCTCAGGGTGAGGGGACGAAAGGAATCATTTGAATTGAAAATGTAGCCTGGGGCTAATCCATGAATCCCAAGTGAAAGGTAAGGCCCACCATGGATCAGATGATATGGAGTTTCATTCAAAGAAACAGGACACGCATAGGAATTAAAAATAATTGAAAACAATTTATATCACTTCTAGACAACTCTCAAGGAACTCAGGAAGGATGTCGTTGGTAAAAATCACAGCGGTGCTTCCCCAGGCCTCCTGCTCTCCCCTGCATCACACAGCGGCTCCCTGTGTCCTCTCCACCCTTCACGCTCATTTCCTTGCTTGCATTTTTCTCTCTAGAGATCTCTTTCTGAGTCTCCCCTCCGTCTTATAAGTTTCTCTTCTTTCTACACTGTAAGCGATGAAACAAGCTTTACACCTTGTAGATCTTCAGCCTTTCCTACCCGTTATCTGAGTTCTAGGCAACACGAACCTAGGAGTTGGGGCAGACTCAGAATGATGGGGGAGAGAGAGAAAGAGAGCAGGTGCATGAGCAAAGGTAGAATTCTCAGTAGTGAGTAGAGAAAAGGTGAAACATTTGCAGAGATGCTCAGGTTAACATGTTTTTAAATTTTTCTTTTAATTTAGCCAGACCTAGAAAGTCCCCAGTTCCCAAAGGATGTTGCCCACAGCTGCTGCATACAACACACCACCACCAACACCAACACCACCACTGACTCCCTTTTTTATTCTTCCTTTTGAATTTTCCTGGGTTCTTCCTCACTCCACCCAAGTACTTCTCTATCACATCTTGGCATTCATCTGGGCAGTGCAGAGCCAGGAAAGGAGAGTCAGCGTCTCAAACTAGGCCCAGCATTAGTGAGAGTCAGGAGAGTTGATTCATCTATAAGCACAACTAAAACAATGGTGGATCATAGTGCAGGCAGGAGTGACAAGGGATTGGTGGTGTTTTTGTAGAATCTAGAAGAAGTATTGGGATGCACCATTTGGTGGGTGGAATATAGCATGGAGGAATCTGGGGTGGGGAATACTTAGAGGGTCTGAGTGAGGACAGATCTATGCAGTAGGATTTATCAGAATGCCAGTAAGCACAGCCAATAGACTCAGACCTCAGTAACTGATCTCAGGAAAGGGTCTTCAGGGAATAAGGTTGAGACCTTAGAAATCATCTGTTTCTAAGGAATTTCCAGTAAAGTAAGGTGACATGGTGGGTACAGGGACAAATGTGCCTTCCAGCTCAGAAATTTTTATGAGAGATGTCATCAAATATCTATAAAGAAAAATAAGAGGACTCATAAGAGAGGTGTAGCTAAAGGGCTGTGGGAGATTTGAAGTGTGGAAAGATGAAATCCAGCTGGAGTGACCAGATAAATCTCTATGGAGAAGTTGGCATCTCAGAAAGCCCTTTGAGGTTGAGTAGAATTTAAACAGATAGAAATCCCAGATAGAGGGAACATCCTGAGGAAAAGTAGAGAGACTGAGGAACCCAGGGGAAATTTGAGTTTGACTATACTCTAGGGTGGACGTCCAGAAGATGGTGTTGGAAAGCTGGGTTAGGGCCATACTGTAGAGGATCTCAAAAACTAGACTAAGACGTTTGTACTTAATTCAGTGAGCAATCTGGAGTTATTAGGGAGCTTTTCAGCAAGATCATGATCATAGCTCTACTCATCTGGAAGCCAGGTGGAATAAATTGGGATAAGGATTGATGAGAGAAAGAGAAACTTTTTAGAAGAAGCAACAGACCAGTTCAGGTAATGAGCCTGACATATGGTCATGGTACTGGAAATGAAAGTTGGTAACTGAGAGAAGGAGAGTCAAAGATATTGCAGGATTTTCCGTGTTTGTTAAGGAGCATGCAATGCCAGAAATAGTAAAGTCAGAACAGTCTTATTGGTGGGAGAAATGATGAAATTGAAAGTGAGTATTTGAATCTGAGATACCAACAGGCTACCCAGATGTTTATGTTCAATGGGAAGTTGGAAAGATGATCTAAAACTCTACAGATCGATCTGGACAAAATACCAAACGCTTGGATTGTCGGATTTATTTTTAACACCAGATATCTGTCTCTGCATTTCCCACCTACAGATTCGAGTTGGACAGAAGGCAGCCAATGCATTGAAAGCAAAGCATGGAACCAATTATAGAGTTGGATCGAGTGCAGATATTTTATGTAAGTATCTTTTTTTTTCCTTCTCAGTAGTATCTAAGGCACAAAAGAAATCAATGGAGTTTGGGTGGTGAGGTGGGCAGGAGAGGAATACAAGAGCCCCTAGGATCAACAGGTATTTGTACAAATCAAAATGACCAAGGATAAAAGGGAACCTCTTCAAGTCCAGAATTATACTCTCTAGGGATAAAGTATGAACTAAAGAAAAAAAAAAAAAGTCTCAGACCAGAGACTCTCTGGCTCCAGTTAAAAAGAGCTGGCAAGTTAGAAAGCACAGGAGTTAACAGTATGGATATTGTACACTGACCCTTGGCCAGTTAATTCAATTCCATCAAGCTAAGAAAGCAGAGCAGAATGAGTCCTGGAGAAAGAAACTAAAAGAAAAGAATTTAGTTGCAAAAAGAAGGTATTGCTTCTCCCAGCCCCAACCACCACTTCCTCTGCCCTCTGGCATCCCACCTACGTAATATTGCATCATAGTTTTCTTGTGGGTCATTTTACTTCTGTTCCTATCAGTTCACTCTTGCCTTTTGCTATGAGATTAACTAGACTCTGATTCAGCTAAGAAGCTCCAACCAAACCTCTGCTATGTGCCAGGTGCAGGGCCAGATTACGGGAGCAGACGGGCTAAATAAGACACAGTCCCTGCTGTGTAGGGGCAGCCCATCAGGAGATGGAGAAGACAGGTCTCCAGGAACTCTTAATGAAACCACTCCCTTTTTATATTGACTGAGCTCTTATTCCCTAGGAAATCTGTCCTTTACAAGTGAGATTTCTACTTGTGTCTTCATGTTTTCATTTACAGATCCCACATCAGGGTCTTCAAGAGACTGGGCTCGAGACATCGGGATCCCCTTCTCATACACATTTGAGCTGAGGGACAATGGTACCGAGGGGTTTCTTCTGCATGAAACTCAGATCCAGCCCACCTGTGAGGAGGCCATGGAGGCTGTGCTCTCAATCCTGGATGATGTGTATGCAAAATACTGGCTCTCCAACACTGCTACAAAGGTGACATCTACCACTGTGTTGCTGAACCTGCTGTGGCTTTTCACATCTCTTCTCTAAGTGCGTCCTACTCAGGCCTGCTCAGCACCAGTGATGTAGATGTGGTTAGAGGGAAGATGTGTGCAGTTTTAGAGAAACCAAAACTCTAAACTATAAACACCTAATTCAATAAAGAACAAACATATTTGCATTTAGTATTATTTTACCGGTAATTAATTTTTATTAATCTACAAGAGTTTGTTATTAGGTTGCTACAATAATGATGCAAACCCCTCTAAAACTCAGCAATGTACACATCTATAGGCCAGCAAGGAAGTGCTGCCATCTTGGCTGTGCTCATTACGTGTCTATGGTGACTGCCCAGGCAGCTGGTTGAACTTTGAAAGGCTAACTCTTTCAGCTGGTCTGGGATAGCCTCAGCTGGGATGAGGAACAATAGCTATGTTCGATGTATCTTCTCCTTCAGAAAGTTAGTCCAGGCCTGTCCTCATGGCTATAGTGAAGGAGAAAGCAAAAGGAGAGCATGTGCCAGTGTGCAGGCACTTTTCTGCATCCATCATATTTGCTAACATCTCATTGGCCAAAGGAAGGCACAAGGGGTAAAAAAAAAAAAAAAAAAAAGCACAATGCAAGGAATGAAAATCTAAGGGTCATCAATGAAATTACTCTATCTGGTGTTTAGTGCCATACCCTTGAACTTCACTAGTTTAGCATTTACAGTTGGGATGACTGAGTTGAATTGGATGATTCAACTAGGTTATTATGAGTCTTATCCCGCTTTTAACCTTGAAAAGTCTGTGAGTACCAGCAGAACCCCACTGCTCTTGAAGTCTAATTAAAGGTCACATGATGAGATTCTTATAGGATCTTTCATGTTCTACTAATTTTTTTTCTGATTGATGATTTCAATATTCACTAAGGAAAATGAAGTAGGAATAGATTTCCTGGATCTGGGGATTTCTTTTTTTCTCATCTAAATTTTTTGAAATTTTTTTCTTATGTCTTTGAATCAGGTTCTCCCTTGAATTTGTATTAATGATTTAGCAGCAGCATTCAGAAGATAAGTTATATGATGTCTCTATATAGGTGTTGCTCTTTTTTTGGTATTTATTTATTAAAAAATTGTTTTGAGATTCTACTAGGTGCATTTTCCTTGGTCCTGAGATGACAATGGTAAGTAAGGTAGATATGGTCCCTGTTTATTTGGAATTTATGTTCCTGTGCGTAAGATCCAGAGTAGCAGTCGTAAATAATTGGGATGGATGCTCTGCCTCCTACCAGGCAAATCCCAGCTCGAGGGAAGCCACACCAAGCAAGAACACAAATAAATAACCTAAGTATTGCAGGTTGTGACACATGCTATGAAAGAAGTAAAGAATAAGTAGAGAGACAAGCAAGGGCCAGATTGTTTATGGATATATAGGCATTTAATTGTGATATCTCATCTATTAAATTTTAGGTGCTCTTAAAGTAACATCCATGACTGTCATTTGCTATGTATCTCTATGTGACACCTTGAAATGGTGCTAAGCACTTGTCAGGTTTTGAACAGATGTAGCTGTGACTAGCTGACAGGACATCCTTGGGTGTTCAGTCACCCATTTCCAAATTTCCTTGTTGGTCACAGTCACAATACACTTCTTGGTTTGTAACCCTTTTATTACCTCTCTTTGTCCTCTTTATTTCTTCATGTCTTGCTAGTGTGTGGCTGATAAGGGTCAGAAAGGAAAATGTCAGGGGCAATAGGGCTTAATGAATCAGAGAACGGCTATTAACATAAAAATACCAGCTCCACAATTGTGGCATTGTCGGGGCATTGTCAGGGAAAATGGTTAGGTTTCATCAATGGTCAGACTAGAAAAGGAAACTAGCAGGACCACTCAGCGCCATATTTAAGAAGAAAGCAGGGGAGCTGTGCATAGAGACATGATTATTAATTTTAATCTACCCTGTGCTTTGGCTTCCAAGGTCTTTTTCTTTCTTTCTTTAATAATTTGGGCCTCTGAGTATTAAAAGAGCCTTAACTACTAAGTTTATTATTTGATGTCTAATGATTGAGCTAATGGGCAAAAAATGTTGGAAGAGAACAGATAGATGCTCAAACCCATCACCTTGCTGAAACTTCCCACATGAATTTTTTCTGACTTCAGGACACAACCTTTGCTTCCTTGAGAGACTTGTTTCAGGGACTTTCTACCCTCTGAGGGTTCAGGGTACTGGGGGACATGACCATTTTTTTTGTTTCTCCTGATTTTTTTTTTCTTTCTTTCTTTTTCTTTTCTCTCTCAATGTAAAAAAAATTCCTTCAAGAACAAGGATAGAAAGGTGAATGACCACACTTGATCTTTCTTAAGGGTGTTTTCTACTTTCTGGTCTAAGATACTTATCATTTGGGAAAACTTCACCACTAATACAACTAATCAATCTTTAGAATGTCCTGTTCTGTGCTTTTGTCTGGGATTTAATATTACCCTACTTCAGCTTGCTACAGTTTTATGGATGTAGCAGAAGGCATAAAACTCCTGGGTCAGAGTAAATGGACAGTATTTCTCATGGCACATTAAGCATCATAAACCCTGGTACATCTACGTTGGTTCCCTTTGCTCCCAAGTTCCAAGAGGATAATGGAAAGAGCTCAAATGCCTTGTGTATGTTCAGAGAAGTATGTGGCAAGAGAGAAACATGAGCTTGGAAATCCACTGCTTTTATAGCAAGCAGTAGGCAAGCCTAACCTTTATTCCAGAGACAGACACTTCCTCTTCATGCAAGCTGGTCTGTTTGCAGCAAACAAAACAAAACTCCAGGTAAGCAGTGGTCAGAGTCTTGCATTCTCAACATAGCTAGCAGGATGTGTAGAAGAAAAGGAATCCATAAAGAACTGGCTCCCAATAGACTTTTTGTATCAGGTTGAATGATATGAAGTTACTGTTTTTGTAGCTCAAAAGGGTTTTACGAACTGGTGACTTTTATATGGTTCAACTTAATATTATCTCAGTGCTAATAAAATATTTCTACAATGCCTTTTTTCTTTTTCTAGAAAGTTTTATAAGACTGTGTTTTCTGTTACAATTTCTTTCTTTCCACCAAACTCTGTCAGTGCTTTTTTTCCATAACTAGTCTTACAAAAGATCTAGGTCTTCCTGACCTATAGATGAATTAAGAATTTAAAATGATGCAAAATGAGAAATTCAGATGTTGTTCTTGCTTCTAATTTTTCCTAAAGTGGAGTCAAAACAAGTTATAGGTTTTTTTCTACTATGTATGACTAAGTTCTATTTTCCTTTATTTTGTGTATATAATTTGAATCTCTCAAATTTATTATGGCACTAAGAGAAGCCCACTGACAAATTTTAAATTGTGATACTAAATACAAAGGAGTTTTAAAAAAATAAATTTGTAATTATTCATTTCTTTTGCAATGTACAGTGATTAAAATATTGTATGTGTTATGTTGGGTGACATTCCTTAGAACCCCAAATTAGGTATTTCTGTATGTTTGAGGAAGAAGCTGGGTCAAAGAGAAGTTAGTAACATGCCTGTGGTCACTATTCTTAATAACTATTGATTGACTAGATTATAAAGTGGGATGGGAATTTTTGGTTCTAGGCCATCAGAAGTATTCTCCAATGGATGTTGTGGGTGCTTTGACAAGACTCCTTCAAGTCCCTTCTCCTGTATCCCTTCCCATCCTTGAAGTGGGTTTTTGCCTCCAACAGCTGTGTGACTCTTTTTCTTGGGATAGTGCATGAACTTTACCTGATGCCACAGGAAGCCAGAAATATGTGGGAATTATACCCACCACATAACCTCCAGCCCCTGCCTGGATGGTAACTGATAACACCCAGGAATATGAAAACCTAGTTCCCTTGCAGTGAAAGATGTAACTTATGTTCAGAGATTCTGTGGGATAAGGTGAAAGTTTCTCTCCAGAGAACTTTCTGGAAAATTGCACTCTTGTGTGGCTTACTCCCTTCCCCTGTCCTGCTTCCCTGCTCCCTTACCAGTCTCTCTTGAGAGCAACTTCCTCATAAAGCACTCCAACATGAATCCTCACTTCTGGAACTGCCTCTGGGAAGCCCAACCCTCTTTGGAATTATTGTGAAGACATTTTAAATTTCTTAAAGTGACCTTTAATACAACTATCATTATTACTTAATATTCAGAATATGCCTGGGGATTCCAAATATTATATGGACAGAAACATTTCTATGTTGAAGATGTGATCATTCTAGGTCATGAGGTGCCTTGTACTCAGAGAAGCCTTTTACATAGAGAAAACAGTTGCATTTTCATTTGGGCTGCTTATTGAAGACACAGTAAAAAGAAAGATTAGCCTTTATGGACTTGTAAATTTTGAAGTAGTTGGCATTATAATAAGACTTTATGAGAAAATAATAGCCACTTATTAGATTTTTTTCACTCTGCTTGTATTTGAAGCTACACAGTCTTTTCTTAGCTACTCTGAAAAAGAAATCTTTCTTTCTAAGGATTCATTCATTTAAAATAATAAAAATGAATAAATAAATAAACTCAGAACAGCTGTAATGGGGATGGTGCTCACTCCCATCCTGTGGCATGGTCCTTCCCTATGGAGCTCTTATCATATGTCCTGAGGATTATTTTTTTCCTTTTTTTTTTTTCAAACAGATTTGAGAAAGTCAGTTCTAAAATAATTTTTCTCATCATGGTTGAACAGTGTCCTTTCTTTTCACATATATAGTGCAAAAGTAACCATAGAAATATAGAAGAGATAAAGAATCATGTATATTCATGGATTTGAACCCACCAAAACTCAGTCATCTAGGAAGAGGATCTGAGCAGGAGAAGCAGCAAGATAGGGTAGAAGCAGGGGGTTGAAGGTCCTGGATGCTAGATAGGAGTCTACATATTATTTCTCTAGGTCACGAAGAGCACCAGCACTTATGTTCAGGGGACAGGGTTAGACACATTTGTGTAAAGACTAGAGTGAGATAATGGAGAGGGAAAGGGCAGCAATGTAGTTAAATGTACTGTGGACACATAAATTGATTAAGACCTAAGTTGACTTGGTATCCCTAGAAATGAAAACAAATGGATAAAAACCACAGACCTTA